CCACAGTCTTATTGTCATTGCCATATACTGAATTGCGCGGTGAGATAACTTCTCCCGTACCCGGGAGTGATGAATCCTTTGTCAATCCACCATAGTCTTGATACACTCCTTGATGTAGCCAATCACCACCGTATTGACAGCTCTGAATAGAACTGCGTTAGGCTAGTGTCAAACTGCACCAATCGGTGCACAAGGCGCTCTGGTGATCTCAAGTCTAAGAATCACATGCACCACCATTCGTTAGAGGATTTGTTCCATAGACACTGGGGTTACTATCCATATGGAATCCTCTGGTGGGTCAGTCCAGTGAACTTGCTGCGGTGTATTCGCCTACAGCAAGCACCCATGTGTTGCACTAAGTTATCACCAAACAACCTCAACAAGTGAGATCAGTCACTACCTTTCGACAGGGTCGTTCAACACTATGATAGTCTTACCGTATTATCTGTGCCCTTACTTTAGAATAATACTGGAGCTACGGACGTTTCTAGAATAGCCACCATATGTGCTCATAGGGTTCTCACTATCAAGATTTGAAACACCTGATACCCTTGTCACGGTTCTACCATTCTAAGGACATATATCAATACATATTGCAATAATAATGATTTATGCGATATAGGATAAAATGCCTTTTATTATTGATTAATGAACATTATTACAAAAAGTCAATTCTACAATAATTGATTAGCTTTAGGGCATCTACTCTAACAATCTCCCACTTGCACTATAGCCAATCATTCATGTATTTAATACCAAATGATCTCAAGTGCCTTTCATGCTTCTGTTATGATAGAGGCTTTGTCAGTGGATCTGCGAGATTGTTGTCAGTATGCACTTTACTAATCTGCACGTCTTTCCTCTCAACTATCTCTCTGATGAGATGGAATCGTCTGAGTATGTGTCTAGAATTCTGATGAGACCGTGGTTCCCTGGCTTGAGCAATTGCTCCATTGTTGTCACAATAGATGTCTATAGGATCAACAATCGTAGGAACCACACCAAGTTCAATAATGAACTTCTTAATCCAGACTGCCTCCTTGGCCACATCTGACAATGCAATATACTCAGCCTCCATTGTAGAGTCCGCTACAGTGCTTTGCTTGGAGCTCTTGTAGCTCACTGCACTGCCATTGAGACAAAATACAAACCCTGATTGAGATTGATAATCATCTTTGTCCGTTTGGAAACTAGCATCATTGTATCCTCTTACAGTGAGCTCATCTTCCCCTCCATAAACCAAGAACATATCCTTAGTCCTCTTCAGGTACTTAAGAATATTCTTGACTGTCATCTAGTGACACTCATTTGGGTCCGACTGATATCTACTACAAGTGCTTAAAGCACATGAGACATCAATTCGAGTACATAACATGGCATACATGATGGTTCCAATTACTGATGCATATGGGATCCTCTTCATCTTATCTCTCTCATCTTGTGTCCTAAGACACAATTCCTTAGAGAGATAAACACCATGTGACATCGGAAGAAATCCCTTCTTGGATTCTTCCATACTGAATCTTTTTAGTACTTTGTCAATATATGCACTCTGACTCAGGCCAAGCAACCTACGTGATCTATCACGATAGATCTTTATACCAAGGATGTAGGCTGCTTCTCCTAAGTCCTTCATGGAGAAGCACTTGGATAACCAAGTCTTTACCAACTGCAAGTTTGGTATATCATTCCCGATCAGAAGTATGTCATCGACATAATACAACACTAGAAATGCTACTGCGCTCCCACTCACTTTCTTGTAAACACAGGGCTCATCTTCGTTCTTGATAAAACCGAGTTCTTTTATGGCTTCATCAAAACGAATGTTCCAGCTCCTTGAAGCTTGCTTGAGTCCATAAATGGATCTCTGTAACTTGCATATCTTATTAGCTTGACTATCAAGAACGAAACCATCAGGTTGTGTCAAATCTCAAGCATCCTCCTTAAGGTTTCCATTCAGGAAAGCAGTTTTGACATCCATTTGCCAAATCTCATAGTCATGATATGCAGCAATCGCAAGCATAATCCGGATGGATTTAATCATGGCAACCGGCGAAAAGGTTTCTTCATAGTCAATGCCATGAATTTTTTTGAAACCTTTGGCAACCAGCCGTGCTTTATAAGTATGCACGTTGCCATCCATGTCAGTCTTCTTCTTGAAGACCCATTTACACTATATGGGTTTTACCCCTTCAGGTGGTTCCACTAGAGACCACACTTGGTTCTGATACATAGAGTCCATCTCAGATTTCATGGCTTCAAGCCATTTAACAGAATATGGATCCGATATAGCGTCTTCGTAGGTTTTGGGTTCATCGTCTTAGTAGACTAGTACGTCACCATGTTGAGTCACGAGATAACCGTATCTCTCGGGCTCATGGCGTACTCTCCCATATCTACGTAGCTCCTGTGCTACCTGAGGTGGTTCACTTTGATCCACAAGTTGTGGAGTAACCTCCTCATGATGTTCAACCATTCCTGTGGCACATCATTCTGTCCTTCGTCTAGTATATTTGTGGTTCTAAAACTTCATCGAGTTCTACTTTTCTCCCACTATTACTTCTTAGAAAATATTCCTTTTCTAGAAGACACACCAGATCGAGTACAAAAATTTTGCGCTCTTCTGGTGGTAGAATAGTATCCTTTGGTCTACTTTAGATACCCCACAAATACATTTACAGGATTTTAGGCCTAGCTCGTTCGAAGTCAATTTCTTAACATAAGCTTCGCAACGCAAATCCTTAGATAAGACAAGTTGGGCTTTTGCCCACTCCATGCTCATATGCAGTCTTATCTACAGACTTTGATGGCACACGGTTCAAAACTGAGTCACAGTCTCCAGACATAACCCCAGAACGATGCAGGTAAATCACTAAAACTCATCATGGACCTGACCATGTCAAGTAAGGTCCGTTCCTTCTTTCTGACACTCCATTGTGATGGGGTGTATAAGGAGGGGTGAGTTGTGATACTATCCCACATTCCTTCAAGTATTCTGAAAACCCTAAGCTTAAGTATTCACCTCCTCGATCTGACCAAATAGCTTTAATACTTTTGCCTAACCTATTCTGTACTTCATTCTTGAATTCCTGATTTATCAAAGGCTTCAATTTATGCTCATGAGGTAGACATAACCATATCTACTGAAATCATCATAAATGTGATGAAGTATGAATATGCACCTTGTCTTCAACTGTTAGTGGCCACATACATCACTATGGATGATGCCTAACAGCTCAGTAGCCCTTTCACTTTGTCCTGTGAAATGAGACTTGGTCATCTTGCCTAACATGCTGACTAACCTACCTCAAATGACTGAAAGTCAAAAGGGTCAAAACTCCATCCCTTTGAAGTTTTGCAATGCGAGTCTTATTAATATGACACAATCTACAGTGCCAGATATGTCTGGTTTTGATTGCTATGTTTCTTTCTTGGTTTCAATGTTGGATACTTTTATTGTTTAAATCAAGAATATAATCCATTACCTACAATTCCAAATAGAATATCAAACTAAAGGACAACAATCTATTGGATTCTCAAAATGATACCCTATATTATCCAAAGCGGATATTGAAATAATTCTAGAAATAAAGGTACGTGATAACAATTATGTAGTTCCATAACAAGCCCATAGGCAAAGATAAACAGTAAGTCTCTATAGCCAATGCAGCCACATGTGCTCCATTTCCAACTCGTAGGTCCACCTCTCCCTTGGCGAGCACTCTACTCTGCCTTAGTCCCTACACATCAGTACAAATGTGAGCACCACACTCCTGTGTCAATGACCCAAGATGTTAAGGAGAGAAATTAATCTCAATCATAAAAATACCTGAAGTCGTAGCCTATGACTCCTTCTTGCTTGCAAGGAAAGCCTTGCAGTGTTTCCTCCAGTGCCAGGCTTGCCACAAAAGAATCAGACTACCTTGCCCTTCCCTATCCACTCTCAGGCCCAAGAGCAACCTGTCCTTTGGGCTTGAGCTTGGGTTTGGCTTTGGCCTTACCCTTGCCGTTGCCGTTTGCTTTAATGGCAGCAACCAGTAAAACAAGCTTGGACTTTTTCAATTCCTGCTCTGTAGTCCTCAACATGTTCAAAAGTTCTGATAGGGTTTTCTCTATCAGTTCATATTGAAATTCATTATGAACGGAGCATAAGAGTCAGGCAAGGATTGCAGAATTAATCCATTTGTAATTCTGCATCCAAGCCACCTCCAAAGTCTCAAGCCTCCTATGTCTCATCATCTAAGCATATGAGGACCAACTTAGGCTCCCTTAGTCAGACGACTCCCAAACAGTGCTTTCGACACCTTGTACCTCTCATGTCGAGCATTTGTTTCGAAAGCTCCTTGAGGTGTAGAATATTGGAAGAAGCATCATATTCTCATGCTGCTTTGCAACATAGGTGTCATATAACACCCCACTTGAGGTACGTAGTTAAGATTTGATGAAGGGTTCAAATGTTTATCGATTTATCCTTAGTTGAGTCTGTATGTTGTTATTATTGTTTGGTTTATCCTTGGTGAAAAGGTGTATTGGTTTGGTTGAGTGTTTTCCTTGAAGGTTAGTATGATGCAAATTTAGGGTTTAGTCTTCGCCGGGGCGAAGGAGTTTTGTCGCCGCGGCGAAGAGGGAGTGCTTCACCCGGTGGCCTCTTTGAGTTTTCGCCGAGGCGAAGAAAATAGCTTCGCCGCGGCGAAGACTCAGCTGAATGTTTCCCTTGAGTTTTTGAGATTTCTTTCTTTTGAGACCATGACCATTCTACCCCTTTTTAGCAGGAAAAGTGGGGAGTGAATTGTAGAAAAAATCATGGAGAATAGTTTGAGTGGGTTGTTTTGTAAAGAATGAAAGGTCTTAAATGGAATTTCAAGAGTGAGTAAGGGTATTTTGGGAAAGAGTGGAGAAAAATAGTGATATTAAGGGTTAGCTTTAGAAACCCCTTCATTTGTTTTTCTCACCACCGCCTCTTTCATCCCCTATTTCTCTCAAATTTTTCATCCAGATTCCAAGGATTCTTGAAGAGCTTTTGACTAGAATTTGTTACAAATTGATCCTAAGTACTAAAAGGTAAGATTCCTTACTCTGAAGCAAATTTTCATTTGTTGAAAGATGGGATCCTTATTAAGTTTTGTATTGAAGGTTAAGAGAAAGTGTTAAGCCATCAAGAGTGGAGAGTTTAAGTGGGTTCTACTTGTGTCCAAGGTAAGTAAATTCATCTAAGTTGTGATTTACTTGATTGAATGAGGTGTAGAAAGTTTTAGATCTATGATTAATCTTGAATGTTTATGTTGAATGAGTTGATGAATTCATGAATGGGTTCAATGTTGTTACATGAAGGATTTTCCACCATGAGGATGTGATTGTGTTGTGAAATTGTGGTAGAAGTATGGTAGAATTAGAAGTAATTGAGAGGAATTTTTGAAGTGTGTTTCTCTTTGCAGAGTGTGATGATTTAAAGGAGTTGAACTCCAATTTTGGATGGTTAGAAAGAAATATGATTAAAGTTAGAATAGAGTTTATGTATGCACACATATTGTTTGATGAAATGCCTAAAAGAACCAAAGTAGAATTAGAGAACCTTACCTTATGCAACGTAGCATATTTGCATGTCATGAATGCATTAAGGAAATTTATGCATGAGTCATCCATAGCATATGTTTAATTGAATATTACATAAGAAAGAAATATGAGAAATGAGAAGAAACACTCTATGAATAGAGTAAAGAAAAGAACAAATTCTCTTAGAGTAAAGAGAAGAAAGACTAGCACTAGAAGATAATGATTCTTAAGTGCTATAAAAGAAAAGAACTAGGTTGTGCGAGGAACTCGTGAGTATAGAGTTATCCTCATGTAAACCGTTATGAGAAAGAACGGTCTCCCCATGAGAGAGCGATGCTTGTAAATCGCTATGTAAGCGATCTCCGCCTGAGAGAGCGGAATGCATGTGATCCGTTATGAGAAAGACGGACTCCGCCATGAGAGAGCGGAATACACGTAAACCGCTAAGAGAGAGAGAGCGGTTTCCGCCATGAGAAAGGCGTATGAGATTGAGAAAGAGAAAGAATAGAAAGAAAAGAAAAGAAAGAAAATGAGAAGTTGAATTAGAATTTTGATAAGAACACAAAGAGAATTGAGGAGTAATGCACGGGATGATAGCGTAAAGACTTGTTACTTACTGGGCATCTTTATGCTCACCCGTTGTTTTCTTTGTTGTACAGGAAATAGGTGAGGACTTGGTCGGATGGACGTCGGCAAGCGGGAGATTTGGCTGCACTGTCCCTTGTTTCGTTTTGTTCGAAAGTCCTTGACATATGATGTTTTGTGTTGTAACGAATGTGATTACTAAGTAAAGGAAATTTTTGGGCCCAACTTGTTTTGATAAATATGCTATCTTTTTATTAATCGATATTATGAATCTGATAGAAAGAAAGTAGTTGTTACATGTCATCAATGCTAACATCAAGCATTGAACGCTATCAACATCATCAAGGAACTTTTGATAAGTATCCTTTACTTTCTGAGTGGCATCAGGATCAGGCTCAGCCATGTATGGCTTTTCAAGGATATACAATTTCTTTTCTGACTTGCGTATAATTCGAAGATTACAATACCAGTCTGAGAAATTGGATCCATCCAACCTGTTTTCTTTCTCGATTATCGATCACAGGTTCATAATGCTAATTTTGGTGAATCTACAATTGCAGAAAGATAAAGTTATTATAAAGTTCATTATTATTTAATATGGTCTTTTATTAAACGATGCTCCCACTATTTTAGTCAAGCCAATAGCCCTCACTATTAACTCGGGAAAGCCCGTTGACTTTCCTACTGGACCGAGATCCCATCCGGCCCATTTCAAACTTTTGCTTTGGCGAACAAGCCGAAATGAGTTGATTAAGTAGGCCAACAAACTTAATCCATACCAGTTGATAGCTCAACTATCAACCTCAAATGCGAAAAAGCTAACAAGCCAATCACACAATCCAATGGCTCTGACCATTGTCCTCAAGTGTGATTTCAGTATCAGTAGAGTGGACACTACATGTCACCACGTACACATAATATTTGTACTACTCTACTATGCCTATGACGTGTTTATCAACCTTCGCTTTGGCGAACAAGCAAAACCGTCATTTTAAATCGACCCATCACCATTAAGAAAAACTCCAATGTATTTTAACCTCCCACTGGTAGAAGTGTACCCTTCGCTTTGGCGAACAAGGTTTCGACGAACAGTGGTTTGATTAAAACCATGGTGATGGAAGTCTTACGTGACTTAATATACTATAATTGAGGGTTTTTATTTAATGTCTCATCAGATTATTATCTTTATTAGAATGACTTTGTTTGGCATGTTCTTCAACATTCAACCTTAGCATGCATTCTAAACAAAATATTAAAACATGCCAGTACATGGCCCAACTAAAACCGATTTCCTCGAGCCTAGAGGAATCGGTGGGTCACCTAGGGGTCCTGTAATAAATATCTTGAGTCTTCAAGTATGGTGGCCTAGTCCTTTGTTCCGTCTTCAAGTACATTACAAAAACATCATTCTAAATTTACAATAAAATTAATCTTAAACTAATTTTACATCAACAAATTTAGAAACCTCGATGTACATTCGAGGGGAATGAGATGAGAAGAGAATGTACATTGAGAAGAGGAGAAAGGCAGGACACGCAGGCCCTATTTAATAAATTATACAACCAAACATACCCAAAAATAATTTAAAACATTCACCATAGGTCTAAGGCTCATGTACCGGGCACCATGCAATATACAAACAAGTACATAGCATACATTTCAAAAACAATCAATTTCTTAATTTGGTGGGTTTATTAATTAATTACCCTCTTTTATGTGCAGAATGATTATTGGCTTTATAGGTTATTAAAAACTACAGATTGGTCCCTTCGCAAAAAATACAGAATTTGGAAAGCTATAGACTTCGCCGGGGCAAAAAATTCCAAAGAGCACTTCGCCGCGGCGAAACTTGGAAATCCCTAATATGAACAGTTTGCCTTTTTTTGCAGTTTTTGTGTAATAACATGAATCCAAATCGAATCGAACACACACACGTTCAACCAGGACATCAACCAACCAATATAACATCCATCAACACATTATTAAACCAATTTATCATTTGAATCATTCATCCAAAAACAGATTTTTTCTGATTTTGTATTTTTGCAAATTTTTCAAAAATGACATGTTATCAACCAAATACATGTTATAAATCATACAATAAACTATAGAAATTAATACCTGAGTCTCTAATACCACTGTTAGTGAACGACCCACTTACACAGCGGAAAACAAAAAACATAAATGACATGGATCGTTCCTAAGAACCAAGATCCGGGTATAATATCACAGTTTATACAGTATATAAATTAAATCTGCAGAAAATCAGATTCAAGGTTCAATAATCTTACGCAAGTTTGGAGGCTCCTCCAACTTTGTCCTTGAGTGTTTTGCTACCAACCCAAGTGTAGGATTGAACCGGCGTAGTCCACACGAAGATAATCGTAAGGAACTAAAGAGGGATTTCCTAGATCCTCCTTAGCCTTAAGAAACAAAGAAGGAAATGAGTATTTGATTTTGGCTAAACCAAAATCTGGCGTGGGAGAGAAAATGGGGCTACAGGGTTTTGCACTTTTCAATGAAATAGTGAATGAATAATAAAAACCTCTCTCAAGTTTTCAATTAACACTTTTCTTTTATAGTGTTATTTTACTTGCCCTATTCCCATATGGAACGGGCTTAGGCTCCAACCCAAACACCCCCTAATTAGATATTTATTTTAATTCATCATTATCTTCAGTTAAAATCAATTAATATATATTTAATATATATATATTAACATTTGACAATAATGATAATTTATTTAAATATATGCGAACACATATTTAAACATAATTTCACTTATTTAATTTTTCTAATAAATTAAATAAAGGCTACGACCTTAGCAAATTTAATTACACTGTAAAATTACCAAAATACCCTTTCACCTAAAAAGACAAAAAAGCCATTCTTTCTTCTTGGCTTTTAAATTATCTTCTATGTGTGTGACCCATAGGCTCCTCATCATACTGGTAATGTATAGTATCGCGATTAACACCAATTAATCGTCTTACTAAACACAGACCAAGATTGGCCCCTAGCAAGGCATCATGGCCACCCGATAGATTTGGATTTAGCAAAGTAGCTTCCTGTCAACGATATGGTTACCGTACAATTTGATCATTTCATCATACGTTATCTCAACAAGACGAAGAAATAGAAATAGTGTCAACCTTCGGCTACTCTCGATATTATGTATTCAGTTTCTGGACCAATGACCTGTATTATAATCCGGATAGAGCAACAACTCAATCCCACTGTGGCCACAGTTTTAGTGTCATTGCCATATACTGAATTGCGTCGTGAGATAACTTCTCCCGTACCCGAGAGTGATGAATCCTCTGTCAATCCACCATAGTCTTGATACACTCCTTGATGCAGCCAATCACCACCGTATTAACAGCTCTGAATAGGATTGCGTTAGGCTAGTGTCAAACTGCACCAATTGGTGCACAAGGTGCTTTGGTGATCTCAAGTCTAAGGATCACATGCACCACCATTCGTTAGAGGATTTATTCCATAGACACTGGGGTTACCATCCATATGGAATCCTCTGGTGGGTCAGTCCAATGAACTTGCTGCGGTGTATTCGCTTACATCAAGCACCCATGTGTTGCACCAGGTTGTCACCAAACAACCTCGACAAGTGAGATCAGTCACTGCCTTTCGACAGGGTTGTTCAACACATGATAGCCTTACCATATTATCTGTGCCCTTACTTTAGAATAATACTGGAGCTACGGACGTTTCCAGAATAGCCACCATATGTGCTCATAGGGTTCTCACTATCAAGATTTGAAACACTTGATACTCTCGTCACGGTTCTACCATTCTAAGGACATATATCAATAAATATTGCAATAATAATGATTTACGCGATATTAGATAAAATGTCTTTTATTATTGATTAATGAACATTATTACAAAGAGTCAATTCTACAATAATTGATTGGCTCTAGGGCATCTACTCTAACAACCAAGTGTAAAAGTGAAGAATCACTTAAGCCATAGCATAAATCGGTTAAGCGATCGTGCTCCTGGGCAAATCTTGATTTTGCCTAGGACTTGATTGCTTAAACAATCGTCAATCGCTTAAGCGACTAAGGGTAAAAGCAAAGGATCGCTTAAGCAATAGCATAAATCGCTTAAGTGATCGTGCACCTAGGCAGATCTTGATTCTGCCTAGGACTTGATCGCTTAAGCGATCGTCGATCGCTTGAGCGACCAAGTGTAAAAGCGAAAAATCGCTTAGCTGATAACATAAATCACTTATGTGATCATGTATTTGAGAAGATCTTGATTCTGCCTTGGACTTAATCGCTTAAACGATTATGGATCGCTTAAGTGATCTTAAGATTTGCTTGTACGTGATAGCTTAAGCGACGGCACCAGATCGCTTAAGTGACTAAGGCTAAATACACAGGATCGCTTAAGCGATTTATGGTATCTCTTAAACGATCCAATGTATTAGGATTATTTTTATTGCCTTTCACAAAGATCGCTTAAGCGATTAACGCTATCACTTTAGCAATGAAAGCTTATCAACACTGGATTACTTAAGCGATGACGGGTTGTCCTATACTGATTTGATTATTTATGTCACTTAATCCATTTTTTTAAATTAAATTAGTTTTTTTACGTCTATATTAAACATATATGGTGTAGAATGTTTACATTTATATTAAACATATATGGTGTATGATTAGTTCAATGGACCATGATCTGTCTTGTGTCAATTGATTTGATTATTCATATCACTTAATCGATTTTTTTTTTTAAAATTAAATTATACTATATTAAATTAAATTAGTTATTTTACGTCTATATTAAACATATATGGTGTAGAATGTTTACATCTATATTAAACATATATGGTGTATGATTAGTTCAGTAGACCATGACCATGATTATATTTTAATTAAATTAGTTCTTTTACGTCTATATTAAACATGGTCCATAAACTTGGAAAAGAAATATTGAAGTAAATTACCCTTAATCGCTTAAGCAATCCTGCCTATTTAGCCTTGGTCACTTAAGGGATATATTGTTTCACTTAAGAGATCATGTTTATTTAGTCTTAGTCACTTAAGCGATAATAAATCGCTTACGCGATGTTGTCAAAGGCAGAATAAAGGT